TTTATGGGATCATATTTTTCAAATATAAAATGAAATAATATTAGAAACATGTACTAAACTAATTGAGTTAATGCTAAAAAGGATAAATGATATAATTAAAGCTAAAGATGGCTATACACGATGGTAAAAAATAATATAATAAAGTTTTTAGTAATATTTTATTAATTATTTTTTTAAAAAAAAATGTATATTTATCATGCATGTAAAAGTATCAAAAGTAACACACTAAAGTTTTAATAAACATCATGTGATTAAAAAAAACGGGATTATTAATTATTATTAAAATTGCTATATTATGTTAATTTTATAGTATATTTTATATATAAAAAATTATGTATTAATACAATTTTATATGATAGCTAAACATGTGATTTAATAATTAATATTATTGTGATGCGTTACTTTTGGAAGTCACTGTAGTTATTTACTAAAAATTTAATTAAAAGTTTATACTTTAATTAAAGGTTTAGTCAAATATAAAATTTGATGAAAGTTTAGTCAAGCAGATATTATTAATATCTATTATATTTAAGTATTTTTAAATTTTTTAAATTTTTAAATTTAAAATTATATTTTAATAAAATTTTATAATCAGAGAAAATTATTTCAGAACTTAATATTTTGAAAAAATATACAATTATTTAAAAAATAAAAGTATTAAATGGTTACTTTTAAAAGCTAATAATTTATTAATTATAAATATTAAAATTATGATCTTATATTTATTTTAAAATTCAAATTATGATAAATATTTTATAAAAAAATTAATATTTATTAATAATATTAATTTTTATGTAATTTAATAATTTATATTATATTTTTTATTTAATAAAATTTAAGCATAAAAATTTTTAATAGTTTAGTTACCATAAAACTAAATTCTAATTTTTTTAATATAATAATTTTAATAAACTAAAATTCATTAATTTTAGATAGATAAATTATAAGAAAATTAACATATAATAAATTGTTAATTATTATATAAAGATTAATTTAATCTATTTTATATAGTGATTTTTTAATCATTATATATCAAATCTATTTTAATAAATTTAGTTTATTAAAAATATTATACTTAAAAATCTAAATATAAAATTCAAAAATTTTTCTTTTTAGTTAAATTTTATTAAGAATTTATATAAAAATATTATACAAAAATAATAAATAAAAAACTTTTTTTTTAAAAATAATTTTTTTTATTTTTTCTAATTTATTTTAACTAAAAAAACAATTTGTTATTAGTATAGATACCTGCTGAAATCTTTTCAAAATAATTTCATTATACCCTTTTCTATGTTATTAATATAGCTTTGACAATTTTAGCTTTCATCATATTGAAAGAATTTTATCGTATTTCTTATTATAATTTTAATATAGTTTTGTCTAAGTTTTGACTATTATTAAGAAGTTTTATCCCTTTTTATTAATTATTAGTCAAACTGTATTATATTTTATTAAATATTTTTTTTCATATTTTTTTAACTATTTTTTTCATTTATTTCTTTTTTTTTTTCATAAAAGTAAGTATCAAAAAATATAATCAAAATTGATATTACTTTAAATATATAAATATTATATGATTTACTTTTTTTTTTATAAATAATAATACACTTTTTACATGTAATTTTTAATGAAAATTTGATAAATAATTTATATAAAATAATTAAAATTTACTAATAAAATATGTTCTATTGTTGAATTTAAGTATTTAATCAAATATTATTAATCAAAAATATTACTTTTTTTAATAATCAAAAAAATCATAAAATTTGTACAATTAACTTCTAAAATTACTCTTTTAATTTAAAATAATTTATTTGTATTTATTTAATTAAAATAATATAAATTTAAAAATTAAATTCACATTATTTTACTTATATAAAACTTTCAAATAAATGGATATTATCTATTTATTATTAGAAAATAATCAAACCAATAATATAATTTATAAAGCTAGCTGTAAAATTAGTAAAATTAATACATTTAAACTAATATAATATGAAAATATTTATTTTATAAAATAAAAAATAACAAATAATTAATATATAGAATTTAAATACTTTAAATATCAAAATATATAGGTAATAATTTATTATAAATAATAATTTTATATTAACTAGTGTGACTTTAAAATGCCACTTTTTTTATTAATTATAAATTAAAAAGAAAATAAGAATTTACATTAATGTGTTACATCGATAATTTTTTTGTATTATATAGAATAGATGTGTGATTATATGAATAGAGAGTTTTTTAAAATGTTTTTTAGTCTTTTGTATTCTTTAACTATATTTAAATTAGTTATGAAAGCTTTTTTGTTGAGTATTAGAATTTGAATATTTTTTCAGTTTGAGTATCTGTTCAGGATGATATATGCTTATCTAGATAAGAATATTTGGTTATTTAGATTAATAAAGATATAGTTTAGGATTAGTTCCTGGATTTTATATATAGTTAAGGTATAGCAGTTCTAGAGTGAAAATTGATAATGGCTGGCTTAGTTTCCATTAATTGTAAAGTGACTAGTGGTTAGTTCAATATTTATATCTATTATTCTATCTGATATACTAAATGAGACTCATACTAGGTTTATTTCAGTATTTATATTTGTGCTGATTCTGATTGTTACATAGCAGATTTTTAAGTTTGTTTTTGAATTTTGAGAAATATAACTTTGCATCTTGTTAGAATCAAACTAATAAGGGAAGATTTATTTTTGATTTAAATGGTTTTTCTATTATATTTATGTTATATTGATCTTCATTTATTATATCAATTACTTAAAAAATTATGAATTTATTTTCAGTTATTAATAGTATATTGCAGATTAATCAGTTTGTCTTATCAGTAGTTTCACAATATTCTATTATATTTGTGACGTTGAGTAGAAGATTGATTAGTTTATTGATGTTAAATTATTCATGTTTTTCTTGTAGTTTTTCTTAGATTTTTCTGTTATATTTCCTAAGTAAATTTTTTTAGTATATTGTAGAATTCTGACTGTTCTTCTTAGCATTTGAGTTAATATAGAAAGAGAAGGTAATATAATTTTTATTTTGACAATTTGAATATAGGTGATCTAATTATGGATGGTAGTTATGCTAAGTCTCTAGTGACTACAATGCTGATTTCTCTAAATGCTAAGGTATTGTTACAAATACTAAAATAAAACTAACAGAAAGGTTTTCTTGATTTATTTTGATCAGGTCTTAGCATTTACTGTTATCTAAATATTAGAATAATAAGATAGTGATTATTAATTAAATTTATTATTTTTTTTTAAATAAAGATATTTTGATGTAAATTATTTACTTCTAGTATATCCTCATGAAGAGGATTTTCATTGAGTATAAATTTTCCTGTAAATCTCAATATATTGTCAGGTGTGAATATGGGAATCTATTTGGATACTAAGAGATTTTTTAGAAAAAAGGCAGTTATTTTAATGTCTATACTTATGTTATTTTCTCTTCTTATAACACTGATCGCTTCACTTATTATATAATCAAAGGAATCTCTTTCATTAACCAAATGATACAAATCAAAGTTAATTAGCAGGCATGATAATTTGATCTTTACAATTCATATAGAAAAAAAAAATTTTCAAAAAGTTTATTTTATATTCATTTTTTTATTTATTTATCTGAAAAAAGATTTTTTTTTCTTATGATTATTTATTTATTACAATTACAAATAATCCTTTATGATTCTAATGACTTCATATGATTCAGATAAATAAAGAATTTTTTTTTATTATAAGGAAAAAGAAGTCAAAAACATCTTAAAAAAAAATTGATGAAAGGAATGATTAAATTAGTTATGATATTTTTGTGATCATTTCTTCTGTATTGTTTCTTTTGAATTTGATAAAAGAAATGGCTGTAATATTTTTGGATTAGTTATAGCATTCCTGTGATTTCTTTTTAAGAAAAAAAAATTGGTGAGAATATGACTAAGTGATATTTTTGAATTAGTTATAGTAATTTTTTTTTTATTATAATACATTCAATTGGTTTTAATTTTTTTCTTTCTTAAAAAGGATTTATATAAACAAAAAAAAATTCTTATATATTGACCCATTATTCGTAATAACCATAAGCATATGCCTAAAGCTTAAAGGCTATGAATAAGTTTAAATAAGCTCAAATAAGCTTAAATAAGCTTAAATAAGTTTATATATTATATATTTTTTTTTCTTTAGACGCATATAAGACTAAGCAACAAAAAAGGCAGAAAAATAAATTAACCAAAAATTGAATTACTTGGTTAGTACAATATTCTCAAAATCGTAGATCATATTCACTTTAAGTCAGCCATTTTAACATAAATTCTTTTTTAAGTTAAGCATTATAGCACAAGCTTCTTTTCCTAGGCGAAATATAATAGTAAGCAATAACATATTCATATCTGAATAGACTGAAATTTAACAAGAATTATATGAAAATAAATATTAGAAAATATGTTTCATACTAAAATAGCAAATCCAAATAATAAATTCTCAGCTCAAAAAATGCATAAAAAATTATGTAAACGCATTCAGGTAGAACTAAACGAAATGATATACCCAAATTAATGAAAATGGAAAGAAATTATGATAATATATGAATTAGAAAAAAAGAGAAAATGTTAGAACTATAAAAGAATAAATAATTTAAACGTATAAAAATGCATAAAACTTGAATTTGGTGTAGACATTTCCATTAAACTTAAATTTGGTAAATTTCTTGATTAGATCAGTATCAAAACTTTTGCGGTACTTATACAATGTCAAAATATGTTAATGTATGGGATCAATTTATTAAATTTATTAGTAATGCGTTATAAATATAATAATTATTATATTGCGGAGTGGAAACAGTGAGACTTGATGTACGTTTCGTCCAATGCTCGCGTAGGCAAACTTTTATTTAGAAAGTTAGTTGGCTAATAACAAATCAAAGCATGAAATAGGAAGAGAATGTCACCTACCCTCAAAGTTAATAATAATTGTATAAGAGGTTTTATACGCTTGATGTGTTGGAATCCAAAAGGAATATTAACATGTTCAAGATGAAAATACCCTGTGCACCATCAATCAGAACATGAAGTTGGTCATAAACAAGCCCTCGCGTTACAACTGCATTGACCGGTGTTGAAACCCGAACCTTAACGGGTTGGACAGCAGGCCGAAGCTCAATTGTCGCCCGCTGCAGTGCAGAAATCAATCAACTGATGCTCTTTTCGCCAAGGACCAAGCTATCCCAAGTAAAACAGCTGGAGATCGAAGGTTAAAGCTTCCATTCTTCAAACTATTTTACCATAGTCTCCTGCGTTACAACTGCATTGACCGGTGTTGAAACCCGAACCTTGACGGGTTGGACAGCAGGCCGAAGCTCAATTGTCGCCCGCTGCAGTGCAGATATAAATTGATGCTCTTTTCGCCCGGAGATGGGAACCGCAAAGCAAAGGTAGAATGTATGTGTAATGGTTGACATGCTCAATACATGATCTACTTTGCTCGTTATGCCGTTATGGTAGTTTGTTGTTGGTGTCGAATGAAGGAAGTAAGTAGGCGTGTCAATTCTAAAAACAAAAAAAAAAAATTCCGTTTTTCGAAATTAATTCAATTGATCAGCTCTTAAATGTCACATATGTCACGTAAAATTTTTTAAGTGGTGCCCCTTATATGTCATCGGTCACGTGGGGTGAAATTTTACCTACGCGTATGAATTTTATCTCGCGTTTTTTTTAACATTCGTAATTCTTTTTTAAGAAACAATATGGAGAATATTTATCATAAGTTTATACTCGACCATCTGAGTGAAATGAACCCGACTTTGTTTTTTGATCATTTTAAGTTTGCGTACGCGAAGAAATCAACTGCTCAACAGCTTCTAGCCAACTCTCTCGGTTACTTACAGAATTATGTGAATGATCCGGCAATAAGGAGCTTAGCACAGGAAAAAAGAAAGGATCTAAAGGTTTGTTCATATCATTATTTGATTCATATGTATCTGATAGAGCTGTACTTAACATACTGCGTTTCGTATGTTGTAATATAGAAATGGAGGGAAAGTCAATATGCTATCGAATACTGGCAAGGAATTGAGAGAAAAGAAGCCGAACAAAAAGTTAAGGCTGCGGCAAAAATATCAGAGGTAAAGATAAGCAAGGAATTATAGAATCGTGTTTAGAAATCCTTGTTGGTATGCCTAATTGTTAATTTTCATTAACAAAGTTGCATATCGAGGCAACATTACATAAAGATACTATCCACCATTCTAGTGCAGTATCAAATCTGACTAGAAACAAACTCACCGCATTAAATAAACGACCAAACACCGATGTTGATTCTGAAAACAACCCCTTCATTGTAACTGAGGATCTCGAACCTATTGATTCTCACACAACACCATCATCACATACCGATTCTGAAGATTTAGAACATAACCCCTTCATTGTAACAAAAGAGCAGAAAGAAGGACCCGAACCTACTGATTCTCTCACACCATTAAATTTCCTTAAACGTCCCAAGCCCTTACTCGATATTGAAATGGATTTGGATTGGGCACCGTGGAAGTACAACTTGATAATCAACAATATTGACATAGAGCAAATTCTTCAGAATATATACAAAAAATGTCAAAAAACAAGACCGAAAACGAAAACATCGCTTGATTACGGTATTATTGACCTCAATGACGGTGTTGTTTTGGAAGGTCTAGGCAAATCAATAAAGTTATATTTTGAAGCAAGGATACAAGATTATAAACCTAAGAAAAACATATCTAAAGAAATTGCAAATTGTTTGAAAAAATTTAATGTTGTAAGTAATCAAAGAATAATTCACGAAAAATAATAATCGGATGTGATTACTTATAATCTACTTTTTTAGACATCCTTAAAAGACCTTGGAAAGGCACTCTCAGAAGTCCATATCGATTATGATAATCTGGATCGTGACATCTTTTATTTACATCGTCTCTTTCAAAAATTGTAAGTATTCCATTTTGAGATTGAAATACAGTTATTTCTGAATATTGATTTTGTGTACAGTTTTCTATTATTTCAAGATAATGGTTCATTAAACCTTGATAGCTCCGAGCTACAGGAAGGGTGGTATAATAGTCACATTGTGGCTCCAATTTTCGATGAATGTCTTGAATCAGTTGATGAATGGATTCTTCGACGGTACATTGAATAATATGTTTTATGCTAATATTTTATTATGTTCCTTAACTGATTATTATATTCCTTGGCATAATAGAGGTGAAGTTGAGAATTATGCACAAAAATTTCTTGACCGAACATCACGGAAAAGAAAAAAATATGATGGAATTCTGTCATTTAGTAGACAGTTCGAATTTATTTACGTAGAAACGACAACTACATCCATACTATCGAAAACAGAGAATGATTTGTCAAAGTTGCATCAAGCCATTATTCTTATGTTTAAATTGATGGTGTCTACTCTTCCGGAAAAAATGTTAGAAGAGATATCATCCATGCCTGTCCTTTGTGTGCAATTCAGCGGTTAGTTAATTTTTGTTATTTATATCGCAGCTATTTTACTAATAGCTTTTGATATATTATATTATAGGAGCAAGTGCCGAGGTATATCTAGCTAATTGGCCAAAAAATATGCGACCAATAGTTTTTTCGATCATGAAATTTGATATACCTGAAGAAGTAACAGCGTTGCCCAAATTGACAAAGGTGGCTGCAAAGATGTTATCATTGCGGGTAATTATCTTTACCGTATATCCGTGAAGTATTGTGTATTCTGTTAATAATTTATCTTTATTTCTCGTAGTCTTATATTCAAAACTTAAATAACAAATATCAAGTCTTGTTAATGAAAATGGCTGATTATTATTTAAATGAAGATAATGACTGGGATTCACCAATTAAATTGAAAGCTCGTTGTTAGACAGAAACGGATCAAAATATTAATCTACTAAAATACAGAGGAATATTGTATTTTATTATAGGTACTTGCAGATTTGATAAAGTTGCCAGAATTTGAGACAAATTCATTAAGATATCAAGGAAAATTAGTAATGGAAATATATTTTGATAATGCACATGTAATACCATAATAAAAACATATAAATATGTTATGTTGGCATTTTTATATGGTAGTTTAAATATGATTTCAAATGTAACTATCTACATTTCCGAAAATCTTCTCGTCTAATTTTTTCCTATCGCTAATATTGCTAATTACGAGATTCTCCCGCCCATTCATGTTTACAAAAATTTTTTGCCTATTACACCATGTAAAAGATTAAGTTCTGCAAGAGAGATGATAGATTTTGAGCCTATCCCTTTCAATTTAATTTAGGAAACTTAAGTTCACGTAACATTGGTACTATTCCGCATCTTCCCTTAACCTTGGGGTGTAGGACCATCCCATATAAGGGAGTACTGTTACACAATTTATTGGATTTTTTTTTATACAGTTTACAATACATTTTCGTGAGACCAAAGTTGCCGATCTGTGCAATGAAACGTGAACAAATCGATTAAGATAACTTGAAGTTCTTGCACTGCACTATTACATATTTTTTTAATCCCCATTAATCCCACGCCTTTACGTTGCTATCCACCTCTAAAGATATGTTTGAGATGAAGCGATGCACAGAATGCCAAACTATTAATGATTAAATTTTGCCTGTTGAAGGAAGAGAAATGGAAAGGAGCTAAAACAATGATTTAGTGAAGGTAACATGGAGGGAAAGTGTTCTTTTATGTAATGTTTGTTATATACATTTTGTAGAAAATCCCTTAAAAAAAGGGCATAAGAAAGTAAAAATTACAGATGAAACCATAAATAAAAACACTGTAAATACAGAATGTATGAAAGTTGATCTTGTTGGAGCTATCAAGATGATGGCAAAAATCCTTTACGAGAGAGAACATGTAAAAGAAGAAGATCCTATATATGCATTTGATGAAATGCGAAGATTATTTCAAGAAATTGACCTGAGCTTAAAGGATTTCTTTGATCAACTATATTTAGCAACTCAGCCAATCAAACGTAACAAGCAAACAATGGATTATATGAAAAAATTGATGGTATTCATTTGCTACCTTCTTGCTTCATTAAACAATACAAAAATTAATTGCTTTAAGTTTAATCTTGTATATTATTTAAATTCAGTAGGCACAAGTAATGAGGGCTTGAATACACTAGTAAATATTAGTATAACTACACGGCAAGAGTTATAGATTGTAGGAAGAAAAAGATATCAGATGCGTCAGTGTATAAAATTTGAACCAAAAGTTATGTGCACAAATTGTACTAAAAATAGAAAATTAATGCATGTATTACATAGTATTTCCATTTTTATAAATAATTTATCCATTTTTATATATAATTTATCTATTTTTAGTAATTATTTGTGCACATTTTATGCTGTGTAATATGTGCACATAAAAATTTAATGTGCACATGTGCACATTGTGCACATGAATTTTACACACTGAGATGCGTATAGAGAACATGTAAAGAATGCTCTTATAAAATATTCAAAAAATGCGTTAGTATTGAATATTAATAATTATCATAACATTCATATTCAAAGACAACCTAATACTATGAATACGTTTTAAGCAGTACATATGATAATAATTGTAACAATTTCATGTTTCATATCAGTGATATTACGAAATAGAGTAATTAATCTAAAGATAGCTGATAATGAATTCATTAAAAGGCATCTTGATGAGTGATTTATCGTAAATCTTAGAATTTTCTACAGTCGTATGCAGAATTATGTAGAAAAAGAAAGCTCTGATAATAAGCTCATAAATAGATTAATATTATATAGCTATAATGATAGGTTAGAAGAGAAAAGAGTGAATGACATATACAGAATGCCATTCTTATCAATTTTGTTGAAAGTAATTTAAAAGGCGTGAAAGAATATACAAAAGCCCTTTAAATTATATACAATCAAGAAACGATGCAAGATTACCTTACTAATCATATGATTCCTATTATTGTAGACTGACCTAGTCAGCTTTATATTCATAAAGTTATTACTCAATGGCTTCTTGTCAACAACAAAGTTATTCCCTCGTTTATTTCTTCATTTCTATAGTTCGTGATATAAATTTTCAGAATTTTTATTAAGTATACAAAAAAAATACCATCATACCAATTTCTGTCTAACGTTAATAAAATTTAAAATAGCAATTCATTAGCTATTTTTAGACGTAAATATAAATGTCAAATTTTTTGTGTAACTATTTATCAATCACAGCTCATAATAAATAGTGTTCACTTCAGTGTTTGAGACAAGATGGCTAACTATAAAGGAACTATGGTTTAATAATATATGAAAGTCCACCAAAATAATTAAAATAATTGGATATTCAAAGTCTACAGTATATTATATTGTCAACCGTTTAAAAGAAATAAAAAATGTTAAGCATTTGTCTTGTTCTGGTCATCTTCTTCTTTTTACTCTTAATAAACATCAATATCTTGATCATCTTTTTCAAGTTAATAATGCAACAACTCCAGCTTTAATGACAAAAAAGCTGAATTTCACATATTTAGAACTTAACATATCAACTTGAACTGTCTAATGTACCCTTAAAAATAAACTTAATTATATTATTTGTCAACCACAAGCGGTTTTCCTTCTTAAGCTGAATCATATTGAAGCTCATTTAAAATGAACCATAAACTATCGCTAAGATGATTGGTCTCATACGATATTTTCTGACGAAAGTACTTTTCAAATGTTCTGCAATACCCAACTTGTATGCTACAAAATTTGTAATCCACGTCTATCATATTCTATAGTAAAACATTTGTATAAAGTCCATATTTGAAGTGCTTTCAGCCGTTAAGGACCAATTAGTATAGTATTATGTATAAAAAAGATAAATGCTGTGAAATATCAGGATATTCTTCAATATTAATTGCTTCCTAATGCTAATCGTGCTAATGATGGATGGCGTTTTTAACAGAATAATGTACTAACCCATACCACAAAGCTTACCTGTCAATTTTTTGTAATGAATAATGTTCCAGTGATTGATTAGCCTACTAACTCTTCTAACTTAAACCCAATCAAGAATTTGTGGACAATTCTTAAAGGAAAAGTGGAGGAAAAGGTTAATGATTAGATTAGAGAAAAAAATACTTAGCGCAGATGTTTTTTAAAGCATAATTCAGAGGGAATGGAAAAATCTCAATCAAAACATTTTTTTTAACTTAGCAGATAGTATATAAGATCAGTTATAGAAAAAAATGTATATATGATAAATTATTAATTCTTTTAATATGTTGTTTTTTATATAATAAGCTGTTGATATTATAAATTTGAAATAAAAATAATAAAAATAATAAAATTTGTGATACTTTATATGTTATGATAAATTCTGAATATTAATATTATAAACTGTACCTATTATGAATTCCCTTCACATGTCTTTAAATACTCATGAACTCATTTTTTTTAAAAATTTATTTTTTTAATGATATTTATAAAGGTATATTTAGAGTACATAAAATATTGGTAAAAAGCTACAATCATAGAGAATCGATTTAATTCTTTATATTGTATGCATATCATAATTTAAAATAGTTAATACTATTTATTTAAAGTTTGGTCATACATGTAAGAATATAAAATATTTATATTTAACTGATTTACTAAGCAATTTGATTCCTTTAATCCTTGACGTTTATGCAGTGTACTATTGAGAAGGGAATTAACTAACCTATAAAAAAGCTTATATATATTGCTAAAGTGATCTCTTTCTTCAATTTGATTGAAGGAATTATAAGTGTACTCCTTTAATGTTTTTTTCTAATATTTTTTATTGGATAGAGACTAATCATCTGATGATTGAAATAATTACTAACTATCTTACCTCAATAAGTGACTACCCTATAGAACTTATTTATAGTATTATTCAATGTTATATCGCTAAGTTTTCTATAGCTGAACAATTGTAAAAAAAGGCACATTTTATTTTTTAGCATCGAGAAGATAATGCTTTTCTCCAATATTTTGTGAATTTAGTGAAATATCTGTATATGCTAAAGCAATTGCATATGCTTTTCAAGAAATATACTATATTGCTCTTAAATATATTCATGAAAATATATCAAATATATGATCAATATCCTTTAATTATTAAATCTGCATCTGATGGTATTAATATTTACAAACTTCTTTCATTAGGCTACGAGATAACAGATTGTCATCTTTTAAAAGGCTTTATTATTTGTAAGAAACCCAATACTTTCACTTTATATGATTACATATACTGCAATGATAATTCACTTGATGATAGTATTCTGATATATGGTCATGGTTACCATAATCTTTGCTTACAGAGAATTCAATTTAAGTGTTTGATATGTTTAAGTTATCTTTAAGGTGAGGTTAAAAAGAATGTCAATATATTGATAACAAACTTGACAAAAGAACTAGTTAAAAGTGAACTTTTTGAAAATGATAAAAATACAATTAACGATGATTTAAGCAATTTAGAAAAGGTAACAGATAATATAGCAATAATGGATAATTTATTAAAAAATGCAAAAAAAAATATTTTTAGAGCTGTAAATTTTTTGTTTTTATTTCATATATACAAGTAAAATTGTTTGCAATAAAGAAAATCTAATATTTTGAGTCTACTTATCAAGTTAATAAATATTTTGAGCTAATCAATAAGTTGAATTAATCATTTAATTTTATTAATGTTGAAGAAATTAAGCCACAAAATGACTAGAATTACATATTCTAAATTTAAAAATTTTGTATAATCATGTGACTGTCAATTTGATTAGTCAATTAATATGTGACAATATCAAAATATTATAATTTTATTGGTCAGTTACATGTGATAATATCAAAATTTTGTATAATAATAACAGTCTCTCTTAGAGATGTAGACTTTTAT